TTTCTTTTAATTCCCATTACTGATGTTTTTCAAGAATCCCAGATAAGAATCTATGATGGAAACCAACACCACCACCACCAACCCCCCCCCCCCCCCCCCCCCAACAAAAAAAAACCAAAAAATCTTCTTTTTTCCTCCTCCTTTCACCCCTACCGGTACTGGCAAGTGGTGCTAGAGAGGTAGGTCACTTTACGACCTAAAACTTAAAATTCACTTCACATTAACTTGTTTCCATCTCTTTCGCAAAAAAATTGTCAAATATGGTGATGTGGATTAAAAAAATATTAATACTTTTTTGTTGGATAAAAAGTAATGTTTAAATGAATTGGAAAAACTTAAAACATATAAGAAAATAAATAGAGTTCAAGAACCAAGGGGTATTATCCATATATAAGGGGTGAAAACTTCTTATTAACCCTTCCCTTATTAAAAATGCAAAAAATAAATAAATACATAAACATTCACACCCAAAAAAAAAAAAAAAAAAAAAAAAAAAAACCCTCACGAAATGGGAATATAGGTTGTAAGTTCAATATTTTTAAAGATATATTTAATAAAAATAAATAAATAAATAAAAGAACTAATTGCCAGGCTAGTCTATGTTATTTATGATTACTTCATCTTCAATACGCTTTAATAAAGGATGTTCTATCCACACATCCATTTTACTTTTCATACATTATTTTTACTTTTCACACATCCCTTATTAATTTATGTCATTTGATCTTATTTAATTCATCCGATCCGACGATCGAAAATTAGAAGAATGTGTGAGAAGTAAAAAAGGGTGTGTGGATATCACACACTTTAATAATAAGCAACACCTGTGACATCCCACATCATCCAGGGGAGTGATCCTTAAATGTATATTCTCATCCCTACCTAGCACGAGGCCTTTCGGGATGTGACAATTTGGTATCAGAGCCTAACCATGGATGCGTGTGTGCCGACGAGGACGTCGGGCCCCTAAGGAGGGTGGATTGTGACATCCCACATCGTCCAGGGGAGTGATCCTTAAATGTATATTCTCATCCCTACCTAGCACGAGGCCTTTTGGGAGCTCACTGGCTTTGGGTTCCGTAGGAACTCCGAAGTTAAGCGAGAAGGGGGCTTGAGCAATCCCATGATGAGTGACCCACTAGGAAGTTGATCATGAGTCCCAAAAATAAAACCGTGAGGGAATGGTAAGCTCATAGTGGACAATATCGTGCTACGATGGTGGAGCGGGCCCGGAAAGTGGTCCCCCCGGGCCGGGATGTGACAACACCCTCTGCCCCATCTCCTCCCCAACCTCTGTCTCCCTTTCCCTCACACCCGTCTTCCTCATCTCTCTGTCTCTTCCTTTCTCTTTCTTTCTTCTTCTTTCTCTCTCTCCTCCTCTTTTACGTCGGAAAAAGACTTATGGGACAGCAATCCTCACCAACCTTTAGATAAGAGTGGAATTGGCATATACAAAAATTGGAGTTTCCACCTTGTGGCAAAGTCAAGAATTGTCAAGTAGCGGGCAAAATTTAAAAGGATAAAAGATCCCAAAAAAATATAGATAACAATTCAATGTCTAAATCCATGGTCTGCTGGAAGATTAAACAATACTTCATTCAACTAAGTGACCTTACTTTATTGAGAATTATCCAAAATATTCGAAGAAGGATTTGGACTAACGGGAATATTTGAAGGAGGATTTTAAGCACCGTTTCTTATAGTATAGTTCCTTTATGTAATAGTATAATGAACATGGTTCCAACAAATGTTGAAAGACCCAAACTACAATCTCCCTAGAGTGAAGATAATATACGCTCGCTCTCTAGGGTTGGACCTGGAGTGAGCAAAAGGCTAAGCCTTCCCTGCAAGAGAGATTGATCTAATTAGGTGGTTGCTGGTATAATCGAATATAACCGACTTAGCCTCCAGAGTGGGATGGTCCACTCCAAAGTACGAACATGGCCAACTATCTCCACCCAAGTACTAGGCCGCTTAGACTAAACCGTGTAGTACCTTCCTGCGTATGTGAAGTGTCAGATTGCACAATCTGGCGCAATCGCGCCCGTTGCCCACGATGGAGAATAGACAAATGGGCATTCTCCGACGTGGCATCCGTACATCAGAACGGTCTCCTCGCCAACCTCCATTATTCCTGGAAATTAAGAGGAATGTCGAGTGACATGGACTGACTTCGCATGGTCTATAAATACACCTGGTGACTTCTCACCAAAGGTAAGACATGCAACCCAAGAACACATCATATCCGTCTCTTTACAACTGCAAACTTAAACATTAGTGCCTCCACACCAAGAGCTACCCTTCCCAACACTTGGGGTCACGATGTTTGCCTGTTTTTGGCAACGCTGGTTTCACCCCTTGACGGTTGAAAATCGGCTCCAGCAGATGTTATCCGCTAGTTAGGTGGTGTGACGTGCCCTAATGCCTAGCACCTAAGCAGTGCCTAGACAAACTAGGTGAATTTAAATAATTTATTGTATATTGTACAAATAAGTATTATTTATTATGATATATTTTCTTTAGTATTTTTGTCAATTATAGTATGTAGGCTCTCTTCTGTTTTTGTCAATTGTTTATTCTAATAATAAATAAGCATATTTATGTTTGTTTTTTCAATTGTTTTTTTTTAATATTCTTGGCGTGGAGGCTCTAATGCTTAAGTTTGCATATTTATGTTCGTTTTTTCAATTGTTTTTAAAACATATTTAAGAAATGCCCCTCTAATGCTTAAGTTAGCATATTTATGTTTGTTTTCTTTTTTTTCCTTTTTCCTTTTTTTTTTTTTTTTTTTGGTTCTCGGGTTTTAAAAACAGAAATCAAATTTTGATTTCGAATTATAAAATAATTGGATCGAAAAGATAAATATGACGCGCGTAGCGCAATAGTAACGACAACATCTTTCATTCAACCATTCTTTCAAATATATTTCGTACAGGTTTAGAGGGGGAGATTCCTCACTTTTCTTCGGAATTTCGAACTACCACAAGGGCGACCAGTCCTCTATGCTCTAGTGTAACTCCACCCATGTTTCCACAGATCATCCCTCATGTTTCATGTCAAAGTAACAGTGAGAGAAAGGGAGAGAAAATGAGATAGAATAGTGAGATTTAGAACACACGAAGAAGCTGGGTGGTCGATGCATAATAGTTGTCTGACGTCACTTACATAGAGGAATGTTGGTTGGGGCTTTTTTTTTAATTTTGAAAATGAATCAGACAGGTGTCAAGCTTATGGTCACTTTTTTATGGTGACATATACCCCACATGCATTTGTATTTTTTAATACATGTCAGCAAATTCGACTGTTGAAACGAAAACAAATCAACATAAAGCGAATTTTTAATTTTAGGTAATAAAATAATAATTTTTGAGTTTCAGGTAACAAAGTATGATCGAAATTAAGTTCTAATGTCACAGCTAAATAGAAGGCTAAACTTTACATTCATGCAAGAGAAACGGAGCAGAAGCAGTGCATACCACCCATGCATACTTGTTTAGCGGATCCTCGCTAATAAATTTGAGACCACCAATGCACCCTGCATCAAACCACTTAATACAAAAAGAGAACAAATCCTCTCCAAAGCTAAGCAGCCGAAGCCTCCTCATCAAACAATATGGGCCGCTGATTGATGTGCAAGTCAAAGCAAGGTCGTCGGTTGTGTGTGGTGGGCTAGGAAAATGAATTAATAAAAACCGTTGGATTTAATTTATGCGGCTCAGATTGTTTGATGAGAAGATTCCGGCTGCTTAGCTCCAGAGATGATCCGTTCCCATACAAAAATAGGATATGCCAATCTTATCAAAATTATCAATATCCAATGATCGAGACCATTAGGATAATAAGATAGGAAATGGATCTCACTAACTTCGTCTTCTTATGTTAATTCCTTATTATGCATGGATTAGTGGTAAATCTAATTAGCGTTATCCATGGACCCACTAGATTGGGATTCGTGTTAATCCGTCGATCAGTGATTTTGCCCGCATGATTACATTATGATCTAATCGCTTGTATCGTCCTAAATAGTTTATTAACGTTTTGATTGCTTTAGGGCAGGGAGAGACTATGATAGTTACTATGATAGTTTAAATGGATGATTAAATTATTATCAGACGGGTGAGATTACTTTTGAATAAGTTGTACAGATTGCATCAAGTGTTCACGAAAAATGCCTTTTTTTGTCACAAAAGGTTTCGAAAAGTGCAAAAATAAAAATATGACAAAGGGGAAAGTTTTTATATGGAGTCTTGTCTTTCGTGTGCCTAACCTGCATGTTGGGCACTCGTTCAAAAAAAAAAAAAAAAAAAAAAAAAAAAAAGCCACATGTTGGGCTTGAACTGGCCCACCAATTGCCTTGATAAAACAAGTCGCTTAAATTAGATCCTAGGCCGAATTAGATTCTAGCCTCAAACTGACATTTTTGAGCTTCTAATGCAAGCATTCAAGCCCAGGCAAAGAGGGTGGGCTAAATTAGCCCGTCAAGCCCAGGCAGCGTGGACATGAAGAGCTTCTCCAGGAGTTTCTTTAAATTTTTGTTTCCCTAGTGAACGTGGTTAAAAAACTACTTTAGCTACCCGGATTAACATCCTCTCTTTTCTAACAAACTCTTAATATTTAGCTATTCTCCCTCCTATTCTCCTCCTCCGTGTCCGTGTCCGTGCAAGCTTCAGACACAAAAAACACATATCCAACCGCTCTAATTTGTCATGCCAACCTTACCTCACTTTGGTCCCAACCTCCCTCTCTCACCCTCCAATCCGATTTCCCTACCAAAGAACCCCCTAGACTTAAAAGTGCCACTGTTCATTTTCTTAAGTTAAAATGCCCTTTAAAGAGTCGTGGAGATCAAATTTCTTAGAATAATGCTACACTTACCGCATGTTTGTACCTTTTTTCTAATAGAGGTAAGACCCATCAACACATACGGATTACATCTCTTCCTTGTAGTTTGTATGCCTGGATTTATGATACACGATTCGAAACAGCTCAAAAAAGGACGATTCTGGCAAGTGATCTTTATCCATACACATTTCATTACAAGCTGTATGAAAGATATATGCAGCTGTGTCTATATTGTGGCCTTTCAAGTCTAGTCGCTGAGCTTAGACAATAAAAAGAGGCAAACAGAAGCAAGGAGGACAGACGCGGAAAAACAAAGCAAGTCCAGAGGAGATTGTATAACAGCTTTCTTACTCTTCTCGAACAACCCAATTAGAAGTAGCATCACTATCACATGGCCAAGCTTCGTTTTCAGCTCATTCACGCTTGTGATATCCAACCATTTCGGTCGCTCCTGTAAAAACAAAATGAAACGAAATGTTCAATATAGGGAAAAGTTTAAGGAAACCAAATCAATCAAATTTCCTTCTAGTTTCGATATGTGACTTCCACGCGACCCCCCATTGAGGATATTTCAGTTCCTATCTTTATTCTCCTGTTTTATGCTCTCCTTTCCCCTTTATTTTCCACTCTCTTCTGTGAGCTTTCAGAACAAGGGTAAAGGACTTGGTCATTTGGAATGGCTATGGTGGCTGTGAAATGGGCATGCCGAGGCAGCGAGACCAATCTGGTTGAACCACTGGCCAAGCCAACCACGGAAGTCTGATGAATACTGATTTTGCAATTTTTATAACCACTTACGAAAGCAAAGACCGAAATCAGTACTACCCTCCCCAATGGATGTCATAAGAAAGCTGCTCCAGTTGAGAACCACAGATCTTTGTTTTAGTCTGAAACTATGGTATGAAAACTTCAGGAGCCAGAATAAGAACTTCAAGAAGAACAGAGAGTGCACCTCGAAGAATTAAGAAGCTTGAAGAATAAAATTTGTTCCCACCTGAATTGTAGTGTTTTACTTTGTTTAGAAACTAATTCTTCTCAAGTCTCAACTCTTACGTGCAGTTACTGTTTCTCAAGTTTGCGATCAATCCTACAGCCACAATAGCAACTTTACCCCAGTTCTGAGAATTTGCACAGACAGACAGAGAGAGAGAGAGAGAGAGAGAGAGAGAGAGAGAGAGAGAGAGAGAATAAATAAACAAAGGACTTAACCTAAGGCTAGGGGTGTGCATAGAGTGTTTCAAATCAGGTTGAACCCCAACCTGCTGACCGGTGCAGTGAGCTCGGATTGACAATATTAAGGGTAAGTTGCATAAGATTTTATTTTTTCGGTTGACTGCAGAATAGCTTTGAAGTGTTGGTAAGATAGGCTGTTTACAGCATATTACATTTCCTTAATTCAGGGCTACCTTGTTCACTTATTCTCGCCTGTTCTTATGATGCAAGGCTGATTTCTTAGAGTATCTTACTGGATAATGAACTACTAGCATTCTATGTAAATACCTGTTAGTTGGACACACGTACAATTTCATTCTTTTATCTGCTAGCATTGTCCGCTAATTCTAGAAAGGAATAATATTACAAAAATAAATGTAGCTAAGAAAAGGGCTTGCATCCCGAGAAAATTCAGAGACTGACCTTTAGAGTGAACATGCCAAAAAGATTTGATTTGTGAGAAGCTTTATCATCTGCCGAAGATTCCGAAGGACCGAGATTACTGACAAAGAGCTCATAAAGACCCATTCCAAACACCAACATCACTGTTCCCAAAAGATAAACATCTAAACATGCCATAGGAAAATAGTTAGTGAGTCATTTGCAGAAACATATGTTGTATTACAAGAAAAATTAACAGATGTTGGTCCTCTACCATCTCAAGTTCGTAGGCAAGTTCAATATCTAATATTGATGGTGTCAAGTATAGCCCTCCCTAATATGCTCCTCCTTAAAGTGCTTTTACACCTAGTAAAGAACTCTACATATGACCTCCTTATATCAATTTGGAACTCTTTAAGTTGAAACAACAGTGGACATGTTAGTCCTATTTTTTAAATTAGAATTATTTTATAACCATTTTTGCAAGCGAAACTTTTAAAGACATGAAATTCTAGAAACACAAATGACCACCCAGTGCATGCGGGGATTATGGCAAAAGTTTACAATCTAAACCGAATAATGGGTCAGATAACCCGGAAAAAAGAAAAGAAAAACAAAGAAATTAAATTCACCAACTAAAATGCAGACTGTCGTGATTGAACAGAAACTACAAAAGAGTTGTGCAACTACTATAACGATTGTCTGACAAGAGAGGAAATCATCAACTGTCTTGGTCATAACTCGACTAATCTTAGTTAAACCCCAATGAATGCAAATTTATTTCTTAATTTCCAAATCTCTAACATCTGATTAGTGAAAATCCATTACTTTTTTGGGGATGTGATAAAGTTTTATTAAGTTTTAAATAATATAATAGGGACTTTTAGAGCTTCAAAAAAATCAATTCCTCTAGAGGTTGAAATTTCTTGGCCGTCTAATGAAAAAAATTTCTCTCTAGGTTTTCTTCTTGTTTGCTCTGTCTTTACGTTGAAAAATATCTCTAGTAAAACAAATGTTCGTTTCATGGTTCTTAAATCAAAGACAATAAAAAAAAACCATAAATCATGGAAAAAATATAATATTTAAATACTCACCAATAGCCTCAACCAGCGACCAGATTACTTTACTGCGATTTACAGAGTACTCCATGAAAGACTGTACCACATAAGTGCAGCCCTGCATATTTGGGTAAGATTTTAAATCAGTGCATAGAAGAGAAAGCCCATATGTGTCAAGAGATCAACATAAAAGCATCATGTTATCCTGTAATCATTTCACTTCCTGAATCGAACAACGGGATGGCTATACATCGACAGCCACATACACCACCATGCATAATCATATCACGTGATACCCAAATTGTTGGGTATAAAAATGCAGATTGGCAGCTTGCTAATTTCATTACAAAATTACAAACCACAACTGGCTACGCACATTTGTTGAAGGAAACTAGGTTACTTGAAAGAGCTAAAAATATAATGTTGTTTCACACTCAAGTATTGAAGCAGAATATAGGCAACGGCATATAAAGCTAGCGAGCTAATTACCACATGTTCGCTAACAACTTTGTACTGAAGCAGAATATAGGCAACGGCATATAAAGCTAGCGAGCTAATTACCACATGTTCGCTAACAACTTTGGATTCATCTGATCATGGCTTATGCATATGCTCTGTTACAATCAAGCTAACCTACATATTGCTTGTAATCCTGTGTTTACTGAAACAAAAAGAAAAAGAAACATGCACTAGATTGTCATTTTGTACTGGGAAAAGGTTGAATATAACACTATTTAAAGTCTGTACGTTCATAGCGAAGAACAACTAAGGTATAACACCAGCTCAAATTCAAGAGGTACTGTCCTAGCTTGGCTCAATTGACATTTTTGAGGGGGGGGTGTAAATGAGTTCTTTTCAAGGCCTTATTTTTGCATTCATTGGTCTTTTATTAAGTGGCAGAGGAGCTTACCTCATTTCGTCCTTACGCTATATTTTCTACCATTACCAAAATCTTCTTTTCTTGCATAATGCATTCTAGCCTTATCAACCATGCAAATCTGGAAATCGTCCCAATTGAGAGACATCTCTCAACAACAGAGGAAATTGGGTTGCCTTATATATTGTGATAGAAAGAGGAACAAAACTCGGGGATGTCAAGTAAAAATAACAATCATAATTTAGCGAATAAAACAAAAACGAAAAGCATAGCTAAAACATGGTTAAGCTAATGAGCTACTTAGTACTGCAATATAAAGTTGGAGGTTTTAGGTTCGACTCTCCTTGATTGAACGTTCGATACCAAATGCCCCAGCCTTAATGTAAATATATTTGTTGTATTTTTTTATTTTTTTAACAAGCGAAATTATCTACACTAAGGAGTAGGCTAAATATCATAATGGGTTTGCTATTAGGTGGTTCAAATTTGCTTTTGTCAAGAATCAAACATAAGACCTCTTACTTATTTAACAATCATACCTTGATGAAACAAAGAAATGACCCAATCAAAGACCCCAAAACTCCCATAAACGCCAAGAACCGAAATCTGTATACCACCTACAAATCCACCCAAAAAAACAGTGAAGTTAAAATCAAAGTATGCCAAAACCGGTAGAAGTTACATGATTAAAAAATGTAAACTTTTTCGTACCTTGTCTAAGTATTCCTCGACGGCTTCTACTTTATTTGGTGAATTTGCTGAATTCTGACCGACTCCGGCATCGGAAACGATATCGGAACTGATGGGCAGGGAGGATGAGTGTTGTGGGGCAGAAGAAACGCCCGGCCTCGAGCTGGCGGCCATGAAGACGATGGGTCGGAGAGCATGGAGACGGTACCCAGATGCACTATTCCAATTTGGGCTCAGTTTTGAGGCTTTGTTGAAGGATGATGGCAACGGCGGAGGAGGTGTCGATGGTCGGATGGGTTTTGAGAGCAGAGGGCGAGGCGGTGTCATGAAGGACTATTTGTTTGGTTTGCTGAGTTCGAGTTCTGAGACTCGGGCGAGTCGGTTTCGGTTGAGGAACTGAAAAGCGGTTGGGAATTTGGAAGGAACGGCCTAAAATTGGAAGGTAAAAGTAGTCGTGTATGTTTGGGAAAACAACAAAACTCATTTGGAAATTTTGTCCCATTGGGGCCCAAAAGAACTTCGTATTTTTCTTAACACTCTCATAATTTTTCACTTTTATACACGTGGAGATACTTAACGATCCTATGTATTCTCTTCGTTTATAAATAAAAAGTTTAGATTTAAATATCAAGAATGATGAATTCGTAACTAATTTATTCTTTCATTTCATTAGTGTAAATATATGATACATAAAAATCATGCGAAGAGAATTAACTGAAGATAAAGGTCATTCCAGCATAGCTCGAGCTTTGGAAATCAGCCGATTCTTAGAACTCGCAAAGAAGGCGAGTACACTTTGTACTTGCACACGTGACTGCACGTGGAAGTTGCAATGCATGTGTGTGGGGTACACGCACCTTCCACTTGAGGATGTGTCGGTGACAACCACGGCGAAGTCTAGGGAACTTTTTGGCAACATAACTCTGGTGCGTTTCGGCCCGAGTTGCCCCCATGTTGGAGAGCGTGAAGGCATGTGCAGTGGCATGTTGAGGAATTTGAGATCGCTTTTTAGGTTTCTCGACGTGCCAAATCCTAATACGCTCTTTGTTTCTACAAAATCGATAATTTTAATGTAGTTCCTTCAATGACCGTATTTCATACAATTACACGATTTTACTTTTGATCTTTGTATTTACCGTAGTAGTTACGATTATAGGTGAAACACAACTCAAGGACCTCCAAAACCTGCAAAGCAATTTCGAGTCGACGACTCGACTGTAAGCGGGTCTTTGCTAGAGACCTTTACGAGAACAACTAAGTTAAACCAAGAAAGGATCAATAAAAGGCCTTGTCACTCTAATGTGGTGTAAATTAAAGGCTCTTGAATATCTAAGTTAGACTTGATAAACGACATTAACCTCGTGAAATGTGATGCCCTTTTATACTAGTAAAGATGAACACGATGATAAAATGTAGAGGTGCATGTGGCATTAGTTCATTGGTTATTGTATGTGATAAACTTAATATTCAAGATGTATCTCCACGTCAGCAATCCATGGCAGAGGACTCCCCAAGTCAGCATCAACTCCAGCAGTTTGAATTAATCAACTCCTGCTCCAGTAGTTTGAATTAATCAACTCCTGCTCATCAACCCAACAGCACAAGTTGGATAGCATTCCAACTCTTCATCAGATAGAGAGGCATCACAATTCTCCCTCATCTCAAACTTCGCTTTTGACGAAAATTGAACTTAAGATCTCTCACTTACAAGTTAAGAGGAACACCACTAGATCGTAATACTATATTATACAACAAAAGAATGCTAATAATCCATATCTAATGAAATAAACACATAAATTGGCATAAGTAGCGGATCACACATTAGAATCTTGAGTTCCCTAATGTTAAAGGTTCAAATTTTTTATATAGATACAAAAAGGAAAGTGTGCAAGAAAATTTTCAATTTATTCATTAAGGTATTTCGTTGAACACTTAGTTGGCTTGTTTTCGTTGAACTATGTTGGGCACATGTCAACAGACATCAACATATAATGAAACAATCTGATAAGTGTTATCTAGAGCATTTGTTGAATGCAGTCAACGCAGTCTACCAAATGTTGTCAAGATATGCCTAGCAGAAAACCTACACGAAATGTTGGGTGAATTACCAATTTTGTCTATGAATTATCACCTGAGTGAAAACTAAGTCTCTAAACTATTTTTTTAGAAGAATCAGTCATTGAATTATAAAAATCTATCAATTAAATCCCTAAATAATAGATTCAAAGCTCCTATATTCAAATTTTTGTCAATTTAAGTCATTTTACTTGCATATGATATACATTGGATGATAGATTGGTAATTTTCATAAAGAAATAGTGTATAGAGTTAACTTTGAAGGGTAAATTAGATATTAGATTCCCAACCTATATGAAATGTTAAGGGCTTACAGGTGAGAAAATAACGGTATTACACTCTAAAATGTGTCAAGTGACTTAAGTTGAGGAAAAATTGGATAAAATAGCTTTGAATATGATAGTAGGGATGAAATTAGTAATTTTTAATGAATTTAGGGTACCGAAAAATAATTCAGGAACCTAATTTTCACTAAGGTGATAGTTTAAGGACTGAATCGACACTTCACCCTGAATGTTTGGAGAGTGTGCAGAGGACATTTACAATATTTTTCGCCCTTCCAGTGGCCGCGAGACCACTTGATCCTATGTACATCCCCTTTTGGCATGACATATGACACCTTAGAGCACTTCCATTGTGCCCTAATTCCCTTGGGGATTGGCTGTTTAATGGCCTAATGCCCCAACAATTGGCTCTAGCGCATTCAAATAGCTAGGGCTCCAAGCGAGCTCGGGCTCTCCACCAGGCATTTATCCACGCCCTAGCACCTAAGGGATATGACACAAGGTTGACGTCAGTCACTAATAAAAAAAATTAATTAAATTAATAAAAATTAATTAAAAATACAATAAACTATAAAAAAATAATTAAAAATACAATCAATTACAAAAAAAATTAATTAAAAATACAATAAATTGTTTTATAATGAAAATAAAATTATTTTTTATTATTTTATAAAATAAAAAATACTAATATTTTATTACAAATTATTTTGACTATTCAGTTAAGGATGGATATATACTTAGGCAATTACTGTTCACTAAAGGCAATTACTATTCATTTTAGGGGATTTGTTGCCTTAGCCCAGGGGAACCTAGTGACACTGTAAGTGCTCTTAGAAGTTATACCAATATGGTAAAAATGTAATTGTAAATAAAAGCTTTTAAAATATTAAGAATTGTTATTAGTACTTTAAAAATTTCATTCTACGTTCTTTTTTCTAATTATAAAAAGTTTGACAATTCCCAAAATATTTAGGGTTAATGTTTCGGCTAAGTTACCGAATTAGAATAAGTTATCAACATGGAAAAAGTGAAAAGAGGTCCTCGTACAACTTCATCTTCAAGGTTAACATGGAGGAGGGCATGGCGGAGAACGAAATATCACCACCGCACCCAATTCGCCCTCCCCCTTCTTCGCAAATCCCCATCTCACCGGAATCCATCTCATCAGCCGTCAAGGTCTTCCTCGACATCCTAATCCGGACCTCACCCCAGCAAATCGGCGCCGCCCTCGCCTCCACCGGAATCATCCCCAGTGCCGAAGTCGTCATACAAGTCCTCAAACTCTCCTACGACTACCCCTTCTCCGCCGTAAAGTTCTTCCAATGGGCCGGGTTGGCCCACAAGCACTCGGCTCAGGCCTGGAACCTGATGGTCGACGTCCTCGGCCGCAACCGGCTTTTCGAGTCCATGTGGGACGCCATCCGCTCGATGCGACAAGAAAAAACCCTCTCCTTGCCCGCCTTCGCCGCCGCCTTCTCCAATTACTGCGCTGCCGGGAAGTTCAACGACGCCGTCATGACCTTTCAAGTCATGGACAAATACGACATCCCACAAGACGTTGTCGCCGCCAATACTCTCCTCAGCGCAATGTGCCGCGCAGACGGAGGCGTTGAGAGGGCTCTGGACTTCCTCGAGACCATGCAATCGAAGCCCGAATTCGGTCCGGATGGCGATTCGTTTGCCATTTTGCTTGAAGGACTGGAGAAGATAGGGGAGGTGGCGAGGGCGAAGACTACGTTTGGGGAGATGGTGGTGAAGGTTGGGTGGGGACCGGAGAACGTGGCGGCTTACGACGCGTTTTTGGCGACGCTGGTGAATGGGGGACAATCGGAGGAGGCTGTCAAATTCTTGAGAGTGATGAAGAAGAATGGCTGCTTGCCAGGTTTGAGATTCTTTTCCAACGCTCTTGATACTCTAGTTAAGCGAAAGGATTCAACGAATGCGATTTCGATTTGGGATGGTATGGTTGGTAATGGATTAATGCCTAATTTGTCAATGTACAATGCATTGATTGGATTGTTGTGTGATTGCAATGAGATCGATGACGCGTTTAGGCTCCTTGATCAGATGGTTTTTCATGGTGCTTTTCCGGATTCTTTCACTTACAATGCGATCTTTAAGTGTTTGATTAAGAACAACAAGGTTCGTGAGGCCAGTAAGTTTTTTGTGGAGATGGTGAAGAATGAGTGGCTTCCGACGCATGCTAATTTTGCTGCGGCCATCACCATGTTTTTTGATGGGGACGACCCCGAAATGGGGGTTGAGCTTTGGAACTCTATGCTTGAAAGCAACGTCGAGCCTCTTGACCCCGCTGCCAATGCTTTGCTTTTGGGCCTTTGTAAATTAGATAGGTTGTCGGAGTTGAAGAGGAATGCTGATGATATGCTTGATAGAAGGATCAACATATATGAATCGACTATGGCGAGCTTGAAGAGTGCCTACTATAAGGATGGGAGAGGTGCAAGGGAGAAATATGATGGCTTGGCGAGGAGGTGGAAGACCTCACTGGTTCGGTAGAAATATTATTTTTGATGTATATAGAAGTTATGTTCTTTTCGTTTTAGGCTTTCCTTGCATAGTATAATCACTGGTGAATAGTGCATATTTCTGTTTCCATAACAAGCTGATTTTTCTTTTGGTTGTCTAACCTCGTTTTTACTCTATCTTCTGGTTCCTTCCTTTTGTCTTTGTTTTCAATTTTGCTTTTCTTTTTCGACATATTCAGTTCAGTTTGATTTCGATTTCTTAGCGTTCAATCTTCAATGTGACTATTTCTACTTGTCATATTCTTTCTTATATTGAGTTCCTGATACGAAAGCTTTCTTGTTACGTGCTGTGGAGCTTTTATTTTGACAAAAGAATCACCAGGCTGGACATACATACTGAGGGTATTAGTTGCTCTCTTTACTGCATATTGGTGCTTCGTTCTTTTATGATTGTTGTTGGTCCTTTAAGCACCTTGTTGACAGTATCTATGCTTGACTTTTTCTAGATGGATTCTCATCCTTGTAGACTTGTAGGTTCCTGTCCTTAAACCGTAGATTGAGAGTAATTGCATGATGCATCTCTCCTTTTTCTTCTCTTTGATTTTTTTTTTTTTTTTTAATGAGAAACGAGATTTTTTTAAAGATCTCAAACCTCAGTTCATGACTTGGTGAACCAGTGGTCCACCAACCAAACGAAGCACTGCCAAAAAACTAGGGAAGTTTTGTTATGTTCCCTTTCCCTCCCACTTCCAACTTACCAGATGCTGCCGCTGATGCTATGCCTCACCAATGCATCACATCTCCCCCTCCCCGTGCATAGTTGAGAGACACTTCTGCATACGCCACTGCTGCCTGTGTGTTATATGGGTTGTGCAACTCAAAATCCTACTTCATGAGGCATAATGAGTAGATTAAACACTCCGTTCTTCTGCCTTTTTATTTATAACCCGTCATCAACAAGAATCTATTTCCTTTCGCACGTTGTTTGCGCATTTGCTTGTTTAGAATATGATTTGTTTTTCATCTTGTCCCAGTGCATTAGTTGATGTTATTCATATTTAAAGTCTGTTTTGAAACTTACATTCGTATATTGGCTGCCCCTGTGTATTCACTGCAGGAAGTCTCAGCAATATACCTGACCATATACATCGTTTTCTTTTATTTTTCAGCAATTTGCTTGATATTTCATGTGTCAATTACAACCTACTACTTATCAACACACAATAAAGATGTCATCGCTAAGTCATCGATATATAATCTAGATAACGTTGATATTTCATGTGCTCTCAGTTATGACCTAATTGTTATCAACATACAATATGCTACCGAGAAGTCTTTGGTATGCAACGGTAGTCGACACCGAGCACCCACAGAGTAGACATCCACATGCTTACTTAATCCAGCTCAATTCCTTATAACTTGACGTTGCATCCACACATATCTATCATTACTTGACGCAGGTGCCTTGCAAAGTACAGAGATATGCAACGAGAGATGGCTACGAATCTCGACGAGTCACTCATCCTCATACAAATATAGCTATTGGTAATGGTTTGTGACCGTAGTCTCTTGGTAAATGCATTCCGACTCTAATCAGGCCATGATCCTGATTTCCTAAAAGAGGAATTTGTTGGACTCTATTTTGGAAATTCTCCCAAATCGTGACCGTCTGTTTAATTCTTTTTAGGTCTCTTTTAGTCTCTATGTTGTTCTGTTTAATTCACCTTATAAATTGTAATTGGAATCGTTCAATTTTGTAATCTTCATTAAAAAATTATCCTTACAAAAAATCATTTGAAACAAAGATCATTTGACCATTCCAGTGTATGAAACAAATATACTTTGTTAACGTTAAAAGATGGGAGGTTAACAAAGGTCAGTATGGTCGGTCCTTGGTGGGCTTGTAATTAAAACTATAATAACTTGACAACAAGGATTAAGCAGTTCACCCCTTACAACTGGCTACGTTCATTGTAGTGCTCTTATATGTATTGAAGATTGGTTACAAAAAATGCTCGGTAAGAGTCTAATTTTTTTCTTTCTTTCTCATGTCCAACCATTTATAAGAGGTGCTCATTCCCCTTTATATAGGCCCTCAATGAGCCTCAAAAGCCCTGGGCTCAAGTATTCCACCGCTTTTGCATATAATGAACCAAACATGTCGACATAGCTTGTTGGGTACTCCTCTGCTTTTCAGTCGACATGCAACGGTGAAGTGACATTTGTTCAGGCTTAATTGCATGGTTTCATGGGGCAATGCATACCGAATGCCTTGTTCGGCCCTATTGAATCAAAGGTACACATCTCAAGCAGTGGGTGTGACAACCTTTTACATCCCTTCATAGGCTGGATGGTGCACACATGGGTTAGGGTTAGTGTCTAAATAGGTCGGCTCCTGGGATTTCGTGCTATAAAGTTGTCAGTTTGCCAACTTGCCTTACACGGTTGGAAAGTACTTTATAAGAAGGTGCTCGGCTTACTTGTTGAGAGTCAAACCAGACCATTGAGCGGTGGTTTATTGCGCTTGAAACTACTTCCTCCAGTTCTTTTAGGCTAGTCAATGGTCCCTTTGTCTTGGTCTTATGTTCCTTCCTTGGGCCTTATTGGGCCTTTCTCAAGCTTGTATTATTTTATGAGTCGAAAAAGACCTAGTAGTAACATATTTACACAGTTACATTTCAAAATTATGTTTAGTTTTCTACTTGAATTCAACATTTTAACTAAATAACACTTTTTCATATTTGAATCCTTGTAAGAGTATTTTCAAAAATTTATCTTAAGATGAACTTTAAAATAGCTTTCTTGAAAACACTAAAAAGTGAGTTTTTTAAACACAAACCCACTCATACTCAACAACAAAAAATAAAATAAAATAAAAACCCACTCCCACAGAAATCGCGCCTGAAGGCCAAGTGAACGAGGGGGGACGACGAACATTGTTTCGGAGTACGACGTCGTTCCTCGGGTAACCAGCCCAAAAAAGGAAAAATAAAATTGTGACCACAAGATCTGAGGGGACGGTCTGGATTACACGATCCGGACAAGTCCTGTTAAACAAATAGAAATGGGTCGGTTTGTTTTATAAACCCTAAACCCTCAACCGAAAAAACGTTGTGTTGTAATCGTCTGCTGCTCCGCACCACATCCCCACTCCGTAATAGAGACGAGCCGCTGTCCGTCTCTCCCTACTCTCCCTCTCTCTCTCCGCCGCGGCCACCGCCAGCCGTACCTCCTGTCACGAGTTCCTCCCGTCTAACTATCCTCTCCAAACCACCACCGATTTAATCCCGAGGTATACACTTTTTGGTTTTTCATTTTTTTTGTTTAAATTTTTATTTGTTTGATCGGTACAGGGTTTTGTATTTATAGCATTAATAGGAGAAATAACCTCAAAGAGATGATATTTTGTATTTGATTTCTGAGTATTTTTTGTTTTGTTTTTTTTTTTTAAGAACACTATTTGGATTAATTATTGATGTTTTTTTTCTTGTATTTATTTATTTTTTGTTTGTTTATGCTTTCACTTTCTCAGAATCTCATTCCTTCCGGTTCCATGGCGTACGACGGAGGCAAACTCAAGTCGACCTCCATCAATGGTGTCAAGATGTACAGCGTTGCTTCCCAGCAACGCTCTCTCGCCACCTGGCTTAACCCTAAGAAGCGTCGAGCTCTTCGCAAAGACCAAAGTACGTTTTTTTTTTTTACTTAGTTCTCGACTTCAGCTGCTAAGTTTTGGATTTGTAAAATGATTTGAACATTATGGTGGAATCTGTGATCAGTACTTGGATGCTATAGAGCACTATATGTTTGTTTTCTCTTGTTTTTGAAATTTTATATGTGCTTTACAAATTGAACATTTAAAATTTGTCAGTTTGGGTCTTTGGATTATACCGAACGTTGTCTAATTTGCGTGTGCAGATTGAATCCCTGTTAAAAGGAAAAATAACAATTCTTATAGAAAGATCCTCTGTTAATGAAATGTTTAATATTTATTATGTAAAATAAAACCTGTTTATAGTGATACTCTATGTGAGGATAACCTCTATTTAGTTATACACAATTTTGGTCCCAACTTGGGCCAATTATATATAGGAATAAACTCCACATTGTAATAAGTTATAATTTTCATAGGTCCCGTCTTAAGAAACTTGCTTCTACATAGTGATAATTGTCAGTAAGACCTTCAACATGACCCTTCTACTTATCTTTCTAACCATACATACATACACGCACTAGCTAATTGAGATAAGGTGTTTCTTTTTTCCTAATGTCTATATCTTTAAAAGTTAACATACTTTACTATTATGTAGTACTTTGTATACATAGAACTTTCTTTTTTGTTTTTGTGGACATCTTGTTCGCCCTTGTATTTTTAGTGTTTTGTGCAATTAAAAAAAAAATTAAAATAGAGATGCTTTTAGCACCAATTTTACGTAATGAGAGACTTTTATTCACTGTTTATTTTCAGACTATATGCAAAGAGTGGACTTGATCCAGGATCTGAGGTTTGAAACTGCAACAACCAAAATCAAGGCAACTCCTGATGGAGAGTTTCTAATTGCAGCAGGTGCTTTTAAAGTTACTTTCTGTCGTGTTTGGTATGTAGTTTTATTTTCACAATCATAAGGGAATTCTGCACAGAATATGTGTTTGTGTGTATGTTCGCAAAATAGAGTTGCAAAATACTAACTTTTCTTAATTGCGTTTTTTTACTCTTGAAATCCAGGTATTTACCCACCACAAGTCAAAGTTTATGAGCTGAGGGAACTTTCACTCAAGTTTGAAAGGCACTTGGACTCAGAGATAATTGATTTTCAGGTAGTTTAGTTTCACCAATTGGATTCATATCTAATGTAACAATGGTATTTGAAATACTTTTTCATGGTCTATTGCCGCTCTGTCTTCGGCTTCCGCCGGTTTTATCAGTATTTTATCATTCAAGTTCTCCTATCCTGTAAATATTTCTCAAATTTTTTATTATTGAATATTGCGCCATTGGTTGTTACTTTAACCTGCCTTACTGCTTGCAATGTCAGTCAGTCGTTCTTGTTCATTTCTGTGGAATCTGACGAACTTGAAAAAAAGAAATCAATTAATTGTTCTTACGAGAGTTTTGAGTTTTATTAACTAGTAATGAAAATTGTAAGTTTTATTGGGTATTCTTTCTCAAGCAACTTAAGAACACCATGTGGGCTCAAACCCTACTATTTGATCTTACAAGTGCAGCCCCTTTTCCCCCTTGGTTAAATACAGTTTCCTTTTAAATTGTTTTCTCCTTCTGAAATCCACAATTATTCAAGTTTGTATAGTTTCTATGTAACAATGACAGTATTGTGCTGTTCTTGAGATGTTCACTTGACATTTGAAATAATACTGGCCTAACCTTTACTTGCTCATTTAGGTTTTGGCCGATGATTATTCAAAGCTTGCGTTTTTGTGTGCTGACCGTTCTGTTTATCTACATGCGAAATATGGAAAGCATTACAGTTTGCGGATTCCAAGGTTTCCTTTTATGCTTTGCTTATGTTTATGGGCCATGCATGAAATGTTGTGTAAACCATGTATTTTCTTTGCCTTGCTTATGGTTTGTACTCTGGCAGATTCCGACAAAGTTTTTGTATTTAGATTAGTGTGTAGGTGCTTGTGTGCATCTGCAAATGTCTTGGTGACATAGAACACACCACAAAATAGAGTGCCCTTTATTGCATCACTCAAAATTGGAAATTTTGTAGTTTTCACTCCTTTATTATTCACATGGGAAAGTAAAGAAGATTAGCATGGGCTTATAAGGAGTTGGGCTACTCCCCCATTTCCCGGATGTGGGATTTACTCTCTACAGTCATCATGTTGGCACCATTTCTATCATCTAATGAGTTGGAAAACCACCAACTCATGAAAGAAAGTGTACCCATATATTAAAAATATGAAAAATAAATGTAAAATAAATACATAAAAATGTTTGCATCTACTTTTTTTTTTGTTTTAAAACATAGTTTTGCATGTCTAGCATTTTTCCAAATATGTACTTTGTTTGTGCCCACTGCCCTCTTTATACGTAGATGAAAATTTTACTTCGACATTTGAAAAAAATTTCCTTGCAGAATAAGATAATCATACCAGTTATAAAAGTTTGGTATTCATTGTATAATGATTTTATTTAACTTGGTGTACAGAATGGGAAGGGATCTTGCATATGATTGCTGGTCTTGTGACTTGCTTTGTGCTGCCTCTTCTCCAGAATTATACAGGATTAATTTGGAACAGGTTTCGTGCTTTAATAGACTCCTTTGAATTCCCCTTAATTTATAAAATCTGTCGATAACAGTTTTGAATTGTTTGCAGGGGCGATTCCTCTCTTCCCTTAGCACACAATCGCCTGCACTAAATATAGTTTCTCGGAGGTGGCTTGTTGATCTTTGTTTTCTTTCTATTATAGGTTCATTATATTCTGTAGTTATCAGACACATGCTGGATACCCTTATATAGCTATATTGGTTATTTTTCCTTAGCTGTCTAGGTTAAGGATATTTTGTTTTGAAATTTCAGCAAGCTTCATGGTCTTGTTGCTTGTGGTGGTGAGGATGGTGCCGTGGAATGTTTTGACTTGAGAATGAAATCTTCAGTTGGCAGGATTAATGCTGTCGCACCCGCTGGTGACTTTGACCAGGTAAGAGGCTTTTTATATATTTGTTAGAGTAAATACTCTTTTCTACAGAAAGAAGTGTACTTGGTTTCTGCAATGGAGTCAATGTCCTGGATAAGTGTGGAATAGTTATGGAGTGCAACAGTGGTTTGAGCTAGTGTGGTTTTGACTCATGGTTGTCAGTATAATTATGACATGGGAAAAGTCTAGTCAGATTGGCATGAGTAATTCCCATTATCCGGAAACCATTTTCTTGAGTCCATCCTAGATGAATGGGTCAGGACACTGTCCAGCAAGCACAAAACAGACAAAAATGGACACTGTCCACTAAGCACAAAACAGAAGAATCCTCATACACCTCACTGTCATTCAAATTTCTCCTGAACCTTAAATTCCAATTCTTCCTCGAATTATATAATTAGATAAAGTAATTTGTTTCAATTCTAAGAATAGACATAGAAATGCATCTTTAATCACTTATTCACAACTCTTGTGCAGGAAGCACTACAGCATTCTTTGCTATTTCCTCCTTTGTGTTATTTATATCATTCTTAACTTATTATTGTAAAAACCTGTTGAACCTTTGGCTTTTCAAAATGATATACCTTGTTTATATTTCATCTTTGCGGTGATTAATTTTTCACTCCAACCATTGGACAAGTCCACAAAGCAAGAAGTGTCCATGTTCCGACAACCAAACGAATTGTAGAGGGATGGAAACTGAGATTGAGAGGCGAATCCCCCAACCATGTATCTTCCCAAAACATGATTCTTTCACCATTTCCGACAACAAAATGACAGTTCATAATAAATGAGTTGTAGCCATGGGTAAGGTCCTTCCATGGGCTACGACAAGTTCTGGTCAAAACAAAGTTGGAGTCCCACCCATTGGATGAAATCCCATATTTAATATTTATTACAGAATGCCGTAGTGCTTCCCGCACATAATGCAAACCTCCATAACCACTTAGCTAGAAGAGCTTTATTTCTAACCATCAAGTTTCCAATTGCCAAACCCCTCCAAATTTACTCTTGGAGGCCGTCTCCTAGTTTAAACCAAACCAAACCAAAATTCCCATTTGTAATTGGATTAAATGATTTGGTCGGTTAACGAGTCCAACGAACAGATGCGTGGCCGGGGAATAAAGTTTTCTGTTGCTCTCTATTCCACTTGCTAAGACATAGGCATTGGTGGTATTTTTATGTTTCTGCTGTTACTACATTTTCTCTTCAACTTTGAATCAGGCATGGCTGTCCTTAATCTGGCTTCCTCGTGGATTTGCAGGAAGTCACTGCATTAGAGTTTGATGAAAAAACGGGTTTCCAATTGGCTGTTGGAAGCAGTGGTGGAAAGGTATTATGTCAATTTTCTTTTTACTAAAAAGTTATCCTATAATTTCACATTTTTGTGATGATATAGCTTCGATTTAATTTAATTTTGCATGTTATCAGAAGTTGAGAACTGTGCCATATTTTTCATTGCTAACAATGCAATATCTACTGCAGTTTTCTTCAGTTGTGATTCAAAAAATGTAATTTGAACAATTGTTTGGTTCTGTATATCTGTATTTGCATGGGTAGGCTTGACAATCATATAATTGTTCAAGACAGCCACTTGTTTCCGTGACACGTAAGGACAGGGAAACTTGAGATAAACTAGTGGCTCTTGAAAGGGTGACCAGTACTCTTTCAAGTGAAAAACAAAAGCACTAACCAACTTAGAAGCTAATCGGCACTGTTTGTCAAATTATCAACAATGTTTCATAAACGTTTCTCTTATTGACAAGTGAATTGTCTTCCTTTTCTCTGCACAAGGTGAACATATTTTTTTGTTTCTTAATATTGTAATCCTTGAGAGAGTGCATAATTATTTATCCAAATCGATATGGTCTTGACGTGATGGGATGATGATTTTTCATTGACAAAAACATTAGCATTGAAGAGAAAACGAGGTAATCATCTCTGATTAAAAAAGGTAATCAATATTCAAGATAAGAGATAACTTGCCAAGCATAAGGTAGGTATTGATTTTACATGGTAAAGTCTTTAGGTGTCAAATTACGTCTTTAGAGTTCCTAAATATATTAACGTGGAACTTCAGTTTTCTGGATCCATGTACCAATCACTCTATAAAGGGGCTACTTTGTGATCTTTAAAAATAGTGTTAATGTGATTAATGGTGGTGTATGTGAGGCATATGTTTGGAGTAATGCTGGATTTTTTCTGATTTCTATGCTGGAAAAACTTTGGTGTGATGCCAAAGGTTGGAGTGAGTCAGGATCTCTTCCTATTGTCCTACATTGTAATCTGTGTCTGTATCCTAGTTTTGGCATCACCATTTCTTATTTTATTGCATATCTGGTTTCCATATTCGAGAAACATTGTTTGCTTTCTCATTAAGTTGTAAAGACCTGTCTGAGGCATGCCCAATGTTCAAAAAAGAATTCAACTTTCATTTTACATTTTGGTTGCTATAGATTGAATCCAAATCCTTTCTCTCATATGTCCACAGAAATCTAATTTCGATCGTGTGGTTGAATTTGCAGGTGTTCATCTATGACTTGCGCTCATCACATCCTATACAGGTTAAGGATCACATGTGAGTATTACCTCCTTCTGTGTTTTTTTTTTTTAATTTTTTTATTATTAGAACACCGAGGGAGTCTGAATTGTTTCTTTTTATAACTTTCTGTTGAAAACCCTGTCGTTGGTGTATAGGTATGGTAGCCCGATATTAGACATTAAATGGCATCAAACTCTAAACTCTGAGGGGCCAAAGTTGATTACCACTGATAATCATATTGTTAGAATATGGGATCCTGACACGGTAAGAAATTATATTTTAACACACATTATTTATTTATTTTTATTTTACGGCGTAGATGTTTTTATATTATATTTGGGGTTGATGTTGGATTTTATAGTTTTGCTAAGTAGATTCCCATTGTCTGCAGGGTGAAGGCATGACCAGCATTGAGCCAACGGCTGGCACAATTAATGATATTTGTACATTCCCTGGCAGTGGGTTGATGTTGCTTGCTCTGGACTGCAGTCAGATTCCATCTTATTTTATACCTGAACTTGGACCTGCTCCGAATTGGTGTTCTTACCTGCAAAACCTTACTGTGGGTTTATTTTACATCTTTCCTACATTGATTTAGTTTCATCTCGTTTGAGGTCTTCAGTTATATTCTAATGTTCGAGTTCTTTTTTACAGGAGGAGCTAGAGGAGGGTGAACAGACTACCATTTATGATGATTTCAAATTTTTGACAAAAGAAGACCTCGAGAGGTTGAAGTTGACTGGTCTCATTGGGACCAGTCTACTTCGAGCTTACATGCATGGGTTTTTTATTGATTATCGGTTATATAAAAAGGTTAGCCTTCCTTTTGTAAGTGTGTATTGTTTGAGCAATTGGTGCCATGATTGCTACAAGAAACAAAACAATTTGTATCATTCATTGTGTATAGCCTCCTCTGTCTTTCATTTACGGTTAGGTTGAAACATTTTTTAGGGAGAAGCGAATCCAGGGACATATATGGAAAACATGAAAAGAGATCACACGGGCAAATTGTTGGTTATAGATATTATTTTGAAATGCATGTTTCGGGCAGTTAAAGGATTTAGTGAGCTAATGTGTTTAAGTTAGGGTTAGTGTTTAAATCTTGTGTCAGTAATAAATGCATATCTTCATAGTCATTGACATTCTCCATGCTCGATTAGGGTATTTCTTTGATTACTTTTAGTTATTGTACAAAGTTTGCATTATTTTATAGTATATACATTCTGGCAGGCAAAAGCTTTGGCAGAGCCTTTTGATTATACTGAATACAGAGAACAGCGGAAACGAGAGATGCTAGAGAAAGAACTTGCAGGAGAGCGAATTACGGTTAGCTATTCTCATCTATGATTATTTATTTTTGTATATATACGGTCTATGTAGACACATGCCTGGCATTAATTTCTATGTATTCCAAGAAATTTTCTCTCTTGTGACCAAGGAAATCACAATATATAAGGATTTCTGATTCTGCATGTTAAAATTCTTCAAAGCTCTATATTATTTGCGTATACTATGTCTACATCCATTATTCCTTGAGGATGGTTTTTAATGAGAAGTTCGAAACTGGTATCCTCTACGGTTTGTGCTATTTTCTAGCTGCGATAAAACTTTTGCAACTTAACCATTTTTGTGAGTTTTTCTTCAAAGTATTTCAACTAGGCATGACTTCCATTTTTACTGCAGATTAAGAGGAAATTGCCCAAGGTCAATCGAACTCTTGCAAAGAGTATTCTTGATAATGAAGATGCTGAGAACGAAATTAATGTTGATGACAATGAGACTAAGAAGCCAGCCAAGAAAAAGAAGGCACTTGCTAGTGATATTCTCAAAGACGAGCGGTTTGGAAAAATGTTTGAAAATGAGGTAATATAATCTCAACCTGTCTCATGTAGAAAAAGAGCAAGTATTTAAAACAGAAGTTTGTTATCACAGTTCACCATCCTTCCTCTATAATTTTTCTATACTAATTTCACCAAACTTTTCCCTAATTGGTTTCTGCGTTTATATGATTGTAGCATAGAATGTGCTAGATTTTGTGGATCTATTCATTTACGTGTCAATGACGACTTATAATGTGGGTTTGATGCTTGATAGTATGTTAGAATTTGTGTTGTTCAATCGGTCACCTCTTTTTTGCCATTGATGCACTATGTGCAGAGGCACGAGCAAAGTTTGATAGCCTTTTCTTTTTCCCCTTTTTTTTTTTCGCCATTGATGCACCATGTGCAGATGCACAAGCAAAGTTTGATTGCCTTTTCTTTTTTTTTTTTTCCTTTCAATTTGTATGGGAACTAGGCCTCTTATACGGCTATACCTATGGGTTTGGCTTTGCTGCATCCTGACTTGCACTGTTTTGTTCTGTTTAGTTTAGTGGACTGCTGGATATATTCTGTATAGCTCCATTTCTGTTTATGATGTCCTTTCATTTAAAAGAAAAAACAAAATTGATGAGAAGCTAGGGCCTACTCTTGCACCACGTTCATTAATTTTCTTGATCCCTAACAGTTATAATGCTTTCTATGAGATGTGTCCAGGATTTTGAAATTGATGAGTTCTCGCAAGAGTATAGGGCTCTACACCCTATGCCTTCTACGAAGCAACCATCTTTGGTAGAGGAACATTTCAGACCTTCCATGGAGGATAATGATCCGGACTTGAGTGATTCTGATGCCTCAGCGACATCTTTGGATGAGCCTGGCCACGAAAACAGTAAACTGAGAATGAAGGGACGAACTCCAAGGTGAGGGTTTCTTGTTCTTTTGTTGACGTTCGCCATAACATTTATTTACTGATTACAGTACATCCAAGCTCCCTTGGTTTTGTGAAATCTAACCTCTTCTGTTTAGAACTCATTCTTTCCTGCCTTCTACAAGGGATTACACAATACCTTAGTGTTGGACATGGAGATTTTGCTTATAAAGTGGGTTTGAATCATACGAGTATTGGCTATGGTGTTAAAAATATCATAATGATCAGACACGGAGGAATTTAGCTTGTTTTGGTGGCTTAAACCCATGTCAAAAGTCATTAATCTGATTTATTTATTTTTTCTTAAGCTAACACTATCGATTTCTGTGTATTTTTGAGTGAGTTTGTGATTTGGAGTTTTCAATCTTGAACTTGAGTTATTAACTATCTGTTTGTTGAAAATTCTATAGATTGTATGAAGTTAAGGATGAGCGGCATGCAGAAGCATTCTTGAATCGCGAGTCTTTTGCAAACGAGGAATCACTTCCACTGGGGGAGAGGGTGGCAGCCCTCAGAGATGATCGGCGAGTTTCTGCCATCCCGAGTGATGTTAAGCTTGGACCTGGAGGTTCGCGTGAGATTTCTTTTAGGGCTAGAAGCAACTCTAAGTACAAAGAGGACGAGGATGACGAACAGCGTGGAAAGAGAAGGGGAGTTCAATCATTAGGACTAAAACCAAATGGGCCTGGATTTGGAGGCCGAGGAGGAAGGGGAGGAAGAGGAGGCCGAGGAAGAGGAGGGAGAGGAGGGCATCGCGGAAGAGGAAGAAGAGGTGGCCGGTAAACATTTCAAGCATTGTATGAATGATTTTGTTTCTTGTTCGACCAAGGATGCACTCAACATTGAGACATAGAGTTGTGCATTTATACAACTTTGCCATTCCGGGGACTTTATGATGTGCTACGGAATCTGTCGTTCTTTAACCCCAATTTTTACTGATTGCTGTTTCATTTTTGTTGTTCAGACCGTAGGGATCAGGGAGAATGCTGTTTACACAAATAAAAAAAAAATAATAATAAGAGGGCAAAGTTTTCGCTTTGCCACTCGAGCTTCTACAAGATTATAGTGAACTGTAGGTGGCATATTGATGGTTCTACCTAAGTAAATATGAAAACTACGCAATCGCTTGTGAGCGTGTTCCCTATACTTTGAGTTTTTAAAACCCAACAAACTCTCGTGAATAATATTTTTATGAGAGTTCAAAATAAATAAAAATTAATAATAATTAAGTACAAGTGTGAAAAATATGAAAAAATATATAAATTGCATTCTCTATGCTTGGAAGATGGTCACAACAAGCAGTGGTAAATATTGGGGAAAAGAGCGGAGCGTAAATTTAAAAGAGAATCAACGGTTAAAATTTAAATCTATGATTTATGGAATTATAGTGGCAAATTTCGGTGTTGACATCATCATAAAAATTCTAAAACTTATCAGTACAAGCATTTGTACACACACACACACACACGCATATATTTTATTTTATTTTTATTTTTATTTTTTTTGTTTTTTCACACTTCTACATTAATTAAAAAAGGCTTTTTAGTCAAAATGGTTCCTGAGATTTGCACAACTCCTCACTTTGGTCCTTGACATTTGAAATCAATAGAAGTGGTCCTTGAGTTTGTCAACCATCAATCATTTTGGTATTTTCCTGAAAAATCTCAAATAAATAAAGATAAAATGACAAAAATGTTAAAATCAATTTGGCCCATTGTTCATTAAATTGAAGGTATTTTTGTCATTTTGGTCCTTATTTAACACAATTTTATAGGAAATGACCAAAATGATTTATGGTAGACAAACTTAGAGACCACTTCTATTGATTTCAAATCTCAGGGACTAAAGTGAGGAGTTATGCAAATCTTAGGGACCATTTTGGTTAAAAAATCATTAAAAAACAATTAAAATACCTTACAACAACATAGTCCTTACCATTGGATTCTATCTCAATTGTATGATTATAATTTATATATTTTATCTTGTTCTCTTATGTTTTCAAGTAATATTTATACGACAATGCGATATGTAGATACTAATTTAGTATTATGTTTTCCATTTGATTATTTATTAATTTTAAAATTATTTTCTTTAACTGTAACGAGTCGGATCATATTACCCGTTAATATTGATGGGTCGAATTTGGGTCGGATCATATTACCCGTTCATTTTAACGTGTATTTCGCGACACAACCCGTTAAGATATTGGATACATCACAAAACAACATGAACATGAGAAACACGACACAAATGCCAAGTGCAACTTAGATCTCTATCTAATTCTCCATTCTTTTACCTTCACTCAAAAAAAAAAACTCTCCATTCTTTTACGAGATAGATCCAAGATAATTAAAGTGCTCATTCTTTGGCACTTCTGATTTCCAATCTTCACCTCTATCTCATTTGGACCTCATTCCCATTGAACTTATACGCTGGTTTTGACCAACTTAGGTAAAGACTTTTATGTTCCCACACTTCCCTAGATACCCTCCATAGTCGAGCGCTCTGACATGAACCCCAATTGATTCTCTGAGTCCCGTGTCTCTTGTCTCAATCTATGCCTCCCAAAGCTTCAATGTATGACTCATTAACTTAATAATCATATAGTTCATGCAATTTTGTATGTCGCCTTTATTCTTGTAGATAGGAACCAGTGGACTTTTTGGCCACTCATTTGGCATCTTCTTCGTTTTCAAAATCTTATTGAAAATGTTTGTGAGCCATGCTATACCTTTCTCTCCCAAGACCTTCCACTCTTCAATGGGCATATTGCCAGGATCCACTGCTTTTCTATGCTTCATTTTTTTCAAAACTACAACCACTTATTCTTTCCTGATTTAGCAGTAGAATAAGTAATTTCTTCTCTCTTCCAAGTTCCTCAACTAACCCAAAGAAGTACTCCCGTCGTGTCCTTCATTGAAAAGAGTACGAAAATAAGCTCTCCATTTGTCTTTAGCCGTTTCTCATAAAATAGTACATTTCCTTTCTCATCCTTCATGCACCATACTTGGTTCAAGTCCCTTGTCTTCCTTTCTCTTGTTCTAGCTAGTTTATATATATATCAAACTCTCCTTTGCTATCGAATTGCTTATACATATCATCAAAAGTTACTAGCTTCGCTTCTCTCACGGCTTTTCTTTTTTCACTAGCTATCTTATACCTCTCGCAACTTTCTCGGTATTATCCTTGTATAAGGCTTTACAACATTCCTTCTTAGCCTTAAAATTTTATTATACCTCCTCCTTCCACCAACAAGATTGATTTTGACGTGGAGCAAAACCCTTAGACTCTCCTAACACTCCTTTTGCAACTTTTCAAATACAACTAGCCATGGAATCTCACATTTGGCTAGCGTTCCTCTCAATATCCCAAACGCATTGGTGAGTACTTTCTCTTTGAAAGTGACTTGCTTTTTCCTTTTATCTTTTTTTTTTCTATACAAATCTATTACCAACAATCGATGTTGGTTAGCCAAGTTCTTCGCCAGTATCTTTTCTATCTTATAAGTTATACGATCCTTCTTCCTCATTGAAAAGAAATCTATTTTGTGTTTTTAATGACCTACTCTTGTAAGTGATCCATTTAAATCTCTTCCCATAAGTAACTAATCCATCTGAAAGATTCCTTGAACCAATTCTCCAAGGTCTTTCCAAAATTTCTTCTTTAGACTCATATCCAACTCCATTTGAGGTGCATACACACTAATCATATTGATGAGTTCTTGTCCTATCCCAATCTTGATTACCATAATCCTATGCCGAGCCTCTTAACATTTATAACATCTTTTATTAGAGTATTATCCACGATGATGCCAACACCGTTTCTCGATCTGTTTGTGTCCGAATACCAAAGCTTAAAACCTGAGTTTTCGAGATCATTTACGTTATGACCAACCTACTTAGTTTCGTGGAGGCACATAATACTTATCTTTCTCCTCACTATAACTTCTACTACTTCCCTAGTTTTTTCAGTAAGGTTCCTATTCCACGTTCCTTCACGCGTTTTACTCTCTTGAACCCTACCCTCATGTTCTATCTTCTTTGGCCTCACCTCTCCAGTAAGGTCAAAATACTTCTTTTGACTATCCTGGGTAAAGTTGATGTTAGCAGATGCTTCCAAACAATTTTGAGTAAAGTCGTTCAAAAAGAAATTTTTATTGTGCATGGGCCACATAACGCATCACTTTTGGGTGATGGTCTAGTTTTAGTGCAATTTTTTTAAGATTCATTATCATAGGAATTCGACATGAGAAATGAAGTGTCGGCCGTCACTATTTAACGTATTGCCTCACCTCATTTATCCATGATGGGGACCGATAAACAAATAGGTATACGATCGGTGAGATTTAAATGTGTTTTTCATTTTACGAATGACTCGTACCTTTACCGCATCCCTTATAAGTCTAAAGCCCATCGCTTTAAAGTTCAACTGCATCCAAGAGATCATTCTTTGAGAAAATCAAAAGTTATTTGTTCATTCTAGCATTATTCCCGGACTACACATGTTTTTAACTGTGATATTCCTTCTAACTGTAATATGTGTCTTCTTTGTTGTTTTTGGATCTAAGTTGGGAAAGATAAAACATTTGCCTCTCGTATTGTCAAAAATTCCTACATAATGATGGCAAAACAAGTTTAGGAAGGATTCCAGGTCAACTCCTTTTGGACTTTTGATTCAAGATGTTATGCATGTACTACACTTCGTCAATTGTGTTTATTTTGCAATTCTCCATATTTTAATATTTTATCATATTTCTTCAGTCTGAATGAACAAAACTGAAACACTTTTTTAATGATTTAACAGTCATTATTGACTCAACTGTAGCACCTAAACGTTACATTCCTTGTGTAGAACATGAGTATTGTACCAAATACCCTAGAGTGTGATATGATATTTATGCAAAGATGTATTTACCAGAAAATAAGTGCACATTTACTTAATTTATCATGCTTCAATAATTCTTCACTTCTTAACACATCTCATTTTCTCTCCTCTCCTTCTCCACCCATTTGCTTTTTTTTTCCCTCTCCTATCTAAACCCTAGCTCTATAAACTCTTAGATGTCGGCCCTTTACTCTGGCTTAGGGTCGACAACAACCCCTTCTTAGTCCTCTTCCCCTCTGCCTTGTTCTTTAGTGTCTTGCCCTAGCTTTTCCCCACCTCTGCACCGCCTCTTACCTCTTTCCCCTACCCTCAATCTTTCACGTCGTTGCTTTTCATGATCTTTGATGGAGGATCGATTGTGGCTGACTGTGCGCTGTAGTATGCAACTCCAGTCTCTTGTATATTTTAGGTCAGTCAATTGGGTTTCGTCCGATTTCATATCGTGTTCGTAGGTTTCCTAGGCTTGCTGCAATGAGTCGGGATTCGGTGGGAAGGGGATTTTCTCTCATTTTCCCTCCCACTTGCCTCTCCTCAGTGCCTTTATTTTTTCACATATTCTTCACCCTGTTTCATGGAGGAATTAGTTTCCTCGATTGATTTTGTGGTGGCTCTGTCTTGCCTAGTCAATTCTATGGTGGATCCACCTTACTTGGCTTGTGGTAGATGATGGTCTCAATTGAGGCAATTTTGGGTGAAGGCGGTCTTGCTCGGGGTACTATATTTGTTGGGTCTCTGTCAAATGTCGAGATCTTGGTTTATGGTGATTCAGTTGCGGGTTGCGTTGGGTTGTTGTTTGAGGTTGCGTTTGGGTTGCTTTCTCACTTTGTCGAAGATGTTGGAAGTATGCCCACAAAGCCACTCATTTGATGTAATAGCTTTTGGAATACTTATTGTGTTAAATATTATATGTTTAATGAAGGGCAAAGCTTATTGTTAATAATTATTTATTGTATTATGTGTTTAAGCAATGAGGGAATCCAAGGAATGTATTTAATCTAAGAGAGAAGTGATCTAAGTAAGTTAGATTAACGAGACATTTCTCTTATGTTCGTTCCTAAAACGTTCCTAACCATAGGATTGCCAATCGGGCATTAACAATCAGCTAATGTTAGTATGTGTTATGTTAACTCAAGCGTGAGTATGACTAGTCTCAAGTCATTTAGTGTTAGACACTGAGACAAACACATAGGTGCTCAAAATGGTAATCGAGTACACTGAACCATGATCAAAAGAGAGTTCAAACATACATGTCATGTAAGAACTCGTAAGTTGCAATATGCAAAGTAGTCATTTTACCTGAGGAATCATAGATGTCTAATGGTTAGATCCTTGATCTTTGATCATGTCAAAGGCATTCCATCGAGAGTGTCCACCACATTGTTGGGGTCAAGCTATCTAGTCATGTAGGCATATGAATGCACAACAAAGGATCTCTAACCTTCCATGGTGGAGGTATAATACTCTGAGATATGATTTGGAAGTCTTTGGCCAAAGCATACGAATATGACTTAGTACGTTTGTTCCAAATCATATTCAATTGAATCATATAGAGAAGTATCACATTGGATAGTAGACATGAAACAAACTATCACTCAAACAATGTGATTAAGATTATTGTATTAGAGAATGACCACATTGCATTGTAATTGTAATTGGATAGGTTCTCCAACCACTTATACTTAGCTTGGGTAGCCATGACATACTGTTAGGTGTCATTCATGGTTTGTGGAAACCCTGAAGATTAGCAAACACTAATCTTCATCAAAGGGAGAATTGAAATGTAGTTTCAATTCATAATCGATTGTTAAGAGTAACAATCGCCCACTGCCTCGCTAATTGGAACCTAATGGATCGTACACCGAGTAAGGGTGAAAATGAAGAAATATAAATGAGATGGATAAGCAATTAAATGGTTTAATTGAGAATGATCAAGATTAATTAATTAGTTAATTAATTATACGAAAGGTTCTTTCAAGTTAGTTTCGGGTCTCAGGGCCCCAAAAGGGTTTTGGTCCACAAGACCCATTATGTTTAAGTTGTATGACAACTAAAACAAAATGGGCAATTAGCCCAATAACTAAAGGATGGCCGGCCATAGGGTGAGTGGTAGTGAACTTGGCATAATTGCAAGTTTGCCACTCAAATGTGAGGTGTTTGTTATAAAAAGAACTTTATAGCTATACCACATCAAGGGTTTTCTTTGAGGCAAAAGAGCAAAACTCTTTCTCTCTTTGTCTTCCAAAGAGGCCGGCCACACTTAGAGAAAAATAGCTAACAATCTTCCTTCCTCTAAGTCATCCATTTCATCTTCACACCTCATCCTTGGTGTGGAGACTTAGAGACACCAAATTTTTGGTGTTCTTGGAGTTCCTCTCCTCAAATCCTCAAGGAGCAAAGGAGAAGCAAAGAAGCAACCATCCAAAGAGCAAAGGAGGTGACTTAAAGGCCCTCAACTTGGGTGAATCCCTTGTGTAAACAAGGATGAGCTTCAAGGGTAATGAAATTCAAACTCTCTCTTAAAGAGTCTTTTGGTTCACCATTCACTAGGCTTTGAAAGTCATGGGTTTTTAGAATTGTTTTTTAATGCATGCCTATTTTAAAGTGTTATTAGTTTGCTTATGTGTTCAAATGTTCTCACATGTTCTTAGCTAAAACAATTTTTTTCCTTCATAAGAGAGATTTTATGTTTGATTTGCCGTTTGGTTTTTGTTTGTTGTGTTTCTTTTGAGTCTTGACATCTGGATCCGGTTTATAAAGCTTAAGTTTATTTATCTTAGTTAGGTGTGGATCCCCTGTCAAAGTTGGACTTGTAAGCTTGGAATTCGATGTTCCTCGATTTGTTTATTAATGAAATTCTCATTAAAAAAAAATAGAAAAGGGTTTTCATACCTCACTTCATTTTTTTCAAGGAAAATTAATGCTCAAAAAATACGTTGTGTTATTTATTGCCAAAAGCTTACGGCCAGTCACTTTTATTCATGTTTGTCTTCTTTTTTTCACGCAATGATATGTTCATGGTAATCACAATCACGACGTCACAGTGATATACAAACATTTATGATAATCATGATCATAAATTGACGATATATGAATGGCGTTGTGGTTTCTGTATTGTGCCGCATTAACAAACTAATAGAAAATATAACAAAATTGGACATGAAGGATTAAAGTGATTTGTTAAGTCAATTTTAGAGACGAAACTTATCCATTTCAAATTTAGGGATGAAAGTGATGATGTGTCTATTTCAAAAGCCCTTTGTGATAAAAACCTAACATTTCGTTAATTTGAAAGGATGAATGTATCACCTTTCTCAACTTCAAGATAAAAGATAAGAAGCAAACGTAAATAAAGCCTTGAGAAAAAAGTGGAAGAATTGTACATGAAACTACGAAAGATTATAATCGATTAAACCAATTAAACGTATTTAAGTTTTTGTTTCACACATTTTTTTTATTTCTCCCTTCACTTTTTTCGTTCATCATTCCTTTATGTGCACTTGTGAAAATAAAAAACAAGATTAATTATAAAGCGAGCAGTTAATGCGTCGGTTTTTTTTTCTTAATCAAAAATAAGAATGTCATTAATATTTCAAAGAACCTCTAAGAATTCTCACATGTTAACCGTTCATCGTCCATCGTGCAGTTAGTTTTCGTCAGATATTATTTGTATTTAGAAAAAATCATATAATTTATAACTAATACAAGATAAATGGCTAAAATGTGCTGATCTTTCCAAAATGAATCCGGATGGGAACCTGGGATCCAATTCCCCTAACACAAGGGGATGCTAGTGGCCTCGTCGAAACCCTACAACAATTTTTTATTTAGTAAAAAACTAAAGACTCCGAGCGAGTGTCTGAACACGCCATGCTTTGCTCATTCTTTTTGAAAGATTCTATGCTTTTCTCAAATTCCCCCAAAACAGTAACTCTGTTTCTCTATGTAAATGCGAAAAGGTGAAGGAGGTGACAAGAAATATCAATCATTTACATAAATAATCAATCTCGATAATCTGCTTATTAACACAAAAACAGGACTGGAAATTAAAACAGAAAATTATACCCTGTTAAGATATGAATTATATTTCCAAATGAACACCAAATGCAATTTGTCTAACCTAATGGGAATAATTTGATCTAAAATATTTAATTCTGGTGCTATACCCATAGAATTAAATGAGCAAGATCTATCAATATTCCATCCATAAATTTATTTATTTTTTACTAACAAAAAAAACCGATATTATTTTATAAAAACAATAAGATAATATACTCTAAATTCATCTGAACTCCGATATTAATTCATTGCCATTAGCAGTAAGTGGTTGAATCAAATAAAAATAATAAATATTCTTTGGAGGTGGCCAACCTGAGACGAGATCTGACGAACGAGCAAAGCAGGAACGCAAGATCCATGAAACCGCCTTCACCGCGGTCTCCGATTCAGTTGATGCAAGGCGGGATCCGTTTCGTCCCGCAGCCTCGAGCCAGCAGATTCATAAGCTCAAACGGGACGAAACGGTTCCCGACCTGCACCAAGCGAATTAGAGACAGCCAGGAAATGAATCATCATGCCCTATGCCTCCTACGCCTCTCACGGCAAAAACACTTATGTTTGTTTTGATAGATGGAAGAGGCTTTTAATCTAACCCTATGAAATCTGTGACAGCAGCTCGGACGTGAGCGATATATACTCGTTGCAGACCAAGGCGATTGCGCCACGTGGTCTACCACCAGCTCCGATGGCCTCACGCTACAGGTGATTTTAATTTCAAAATAGTGGGCCCTCCCTCACGAGGAAATTGAGTTAAAGTTGCGCGTCTGGCGTGAGCGGTATCGGAATGGACCACAGAGTTGGGTTTATTTACGCGTATGCCATCACGTTTGAGCTCAGTGTACCCGTCCATGCACGTGCGTGCGTGGTGCTACAGGGACGTTTTGTGGTAGGTGCTGTCAGTCTCGCCGATCTGGGATCCAGCGGCTGATCTTTCTCCACTGTGGTTTCTGGTCGTGGAACTTTTCAGAGGTCCAAATCCGGTATTGCCACATCAATCGAATTGTGGTAAATTCAGATTTGTGTTTTTAAGTAGGAATCCAGACATCAATTCCGTCAGATCACGTGATATATAAATTATAGTATAAAAAATGAGAATAATCATCGTTTTCAAATGATGATCATAGTGATGTTCACTATCTTATTTATCATCTTGTTGAATTTAAATTTCGAAATCTATATAGTAGATCAAATTTCAAAATTTAAATTTATAATAAAACTAAGTAAGTTGATAAGTATTACTATCATTTGAAAATGGTGAGCAAAATTGCACCAAAAAAATATGGTATCTCCAACAACACCTGGTTGTATTCCACTTTGTACTTCCTTTCTAATAGTTTTTAGGTTGCTTTTGGATACTACTTTGTACTTCATTTCTAATAGTTTTTAGGTTACTTTTGGATACTACAGAAATAGAATGCGTAAGACTCTTTCAATTAAACTTCAAAAAAGGGAAGGTACGAATATTTATGAATAAATTGAAAATATCCAATTAACTTCTTAATAGTGAAGAATTGAAATGAAACTTCGAATTTATAAATTTTATGAGGATGGACAAAAAAAATCAATACACTGATGGTTATGATAGTTATGTATCTATATTTCTTGTCATTTCTATTATAATCAGTATTTGAAGAAACAACGGAGATGAGTAAGAATAATTAAATGGTTTAATTATTTATCTAAGGCTAGGATTAATTAATATGTTAATTAATCAAACGAATAAGTTCGTTAAAAACCTCGGGTTAGTTTTGGGCCGCAAGGCCCAATGGGATTTGAATGTCAAGCCCATTAACTCAAGTTGTATGACAACTTGAATAAAACAAAGGGCTTGAAAGCCCAATAAACCTATAGACCGGCCATGTGTAAAAGAATAGGGCTTTTGGTCCATTAGGTCACTTATTTGAAGGGACTATATAAAGGACTTTATAGCCTAAAATTTACAAAGGGTTATTTTTGGGGAAAGGATGAGAACACAAGCTCTCCTTTCTCTCTAAAATTTCGGCCAACCTTGGAGGGATCATCTAGCAATCAAACTCCTCCAAGGTCACTCATTTCTTCTTCATTATGCCTTGGTGATGAATAATTAGAGGTTCTCAATTTTGGGAACTTGGAGAAACCTTTTCATCCATCCAAATCCATGGATCTAAGATGCAAGGAATGAAGGCCCTCTCTTTGGGTGATTAGCCTTTGCTTATGCAAAGAGGAATCTACAAAGGTATTGATTTCTCAACTCACTTTGTTTTGAGTTGAGTCTTGGTTCACCTATCTACTAGGCTTTGAATTTCATGGGTAAATGTTTTGTTTTTAAGTGCATACAAACATGATTCCGCCTTTAATTGTTAATTGCATGCTATTGATGTTGCTTAAATGAACATGTTTTTCACAAATTTTCCTTCAAGTGGTATCAAGAGCCTAAGTCTAGTAGTTGGTGAATCCTTTTGGGTTTTGTAGTTCATAGTTTGTGATTTGAATGTTCTAATTGTTACAAGCTTTATTCTTGCTTCTTTGAATGTAAATTTTGTTAGAAAATTTGTCATCTCAAATGTTGTAGATGTAGTTCATATGAGCATGAATTTTGGAGCTAAAATTTGGTGCCATGTTTTTGGGGAAATTCGGCCAAATCCAAAGGGTGGATTTTTGGGTTCTTGTTTGACTTGTTAAAAGTGTTTTAAAGTGACTTTTGGAACCCCTATGTACCCTAGTATGGTTGTATATTATTTCCCTTAAGTTTGAGTGGTTTTGGTATGTTTTTGGGTGAAGAATGTTCATGGAGCTCTTATGGGTTTTTATGGATGTTCTTCATTGTTCTTGATATGTTCTTGCCAGGAACAAAAGGTTTGGTGTTTTGATTCAAAGTTTTGATTTATTTCATAAAGTTTTTGTTTTGAAATATTTCTTATGTTTAAATATATTAGATATTTATTTTGAAAAATTAAAGAAATTTTAGTGGGTTGGTGTATAATGATTTATTGCATTACACACACCCCACTTACAAAAAACTTTGAAATTTTTATACACTTTGTTTCAAGTGGCCGGCCACCCTACTCAATTAGGGTCCTTGTGGGGCTTTTATGCAATTATATAAAGTTTTGATACTTTTGTGTATTTGCATTTTGACCCAAAAGTTTACGTTTTTACGTAAAGGTCCAAAATCACTAAAAGGACAAATTGTTTTGCTCCTTTAATGAAGTTTTATTTTTTGTGGAAATTTTTGGGTTCTAGTTGTAATTACATGAAGTAGTGGACTTTTGTGTTTTTACAAAGTGACCCCAAAAGTTTAAGTTTTTGCAAAATAGCCCAAAAGTTGAGGTTAATTGCACTATAGCCCAAACAAGTTGAGGTCATAGCATTTTGGCCCAAATTAGGTAGAGAACAAAATTGTTTTGTCTCTTTAAATGAGAATTGGATTTTCATTTCATTTAGCTCCATTTAAATCAATTCTATGGATACAAAAACCAAATGAAAATGTTGCATTCAAGTTTAATTAGTTAAAGCGTTAATTAATTAAAGAAAGGGTGATTATGAACCTAAGCCTACTATAATTGAGCTATGTGAAAGGCCGTTTCAAATTTGTTTGAACCATGGGAATGTGTAGATTAAATTTTGGTTGTAATTTGATATGATCAATTGTTGTAAAAGAGCATAAGCTCTTCTTTACTTTAAAGTAATTTGATTTGATAAATTGTTGTAAAAGTGCATAAGCTCTTATTTACTTTGAAGTACTCCTTTCTTGTTTTATTCGATATGCATGAAATTGGAGTAGTTGGGTCCAACGCCCAATAAGACAACACGCCTTAATGTGATTAAACGCGTAACTAAAATCAATCACCATCCCTAGACCGAGATTCAACACTAGGCTCGTGTTGAATCGAATCAAAGGTTCATAGTCATCCTAAGGCCCTAAGGCAACTATATAGTCCATCAATGAATGCAAATCTTGTGTTAGTAGTACCATATAGTCTTGCTTTAAAAAAGCCGTTTTAAAAGCATAGTGGGAGTATTATATACTACTAAATCAATCATATGGACCAATAGTTGTAATAGGACCAAAATGTTTTAATTGGATTAAAATGTATGTTTATATGTGATGAGACCTAAAAACCCTCAACCAAATCAATATTAAGTTGATAAGCGAGAGATGCTTTGAATATCTCTTCGTGGCCTTCCACCGTGGTAGGCTCCAATCGTTTGTGACTTGTACACCGGCTTCACCCTATCATGGGGGAGTACAAAGTGCATGCTTACATTCAGGAGGAGTCTATACGCATATGATGAGGTGAGTGTAGGCAACGAGGATGGCCAACATCATATCATTGTGAGGCTATTCTTGAACCCCTTCATGAACTAAGCATGGTGGGAATAACTTAACTAAGTGCAATGGCGCCGACATCATATCATTGTGAGGCAACATTCTCTAGAGGCCAAATAAGATGGGTACTTGCAAGAGATGCAAATGAGTAAGCGTACTCTCTCATTATTATTATTGCTAACCGACATCGTATCATCGTGAGGTGAGCTTGGTAATAGTGAGCCTCCCATACCCTACTAAGAGTTTCCTCCAAAACTCTCGAATTCCGATGAGGGATATGGAATTTGCTAAAAATAGTGGGTGGTGCTATTTGATTTAAAGACCCGAATCAAATGGCTTAAAATCAATCAATTTATATTCGTTATGTATTTGTTTACCAATATATTTGCAAACGCTATCCAAAACTTGACAAAGAAAAACCGAACGCTTTAGTTTCCGAACTTGGTATCACAATCCCATAGATTGTCTTGAATGGATTGTAAAAGTACCTAAGTAGTTTCATCCTCACAATCTTCCTATTGATAATGTATCAATGGAAGAACATGTTAGATAAGTCTACCATGAAGATGACAATGCAAACTCTAGTGCTTGTCTCTTTGTTACACGAACAAGGAACTTGAGAAGTAAGCACAAGGGCATGGACACTTTATGTGCCATGATTCTTCACTTACAAATTGTTGTATGAAGAAATGAGAGTTGCCTTGAACAACTCTTGAAAGTTTGTTATTATGTTTAGAACATAATGGTTGGTTGACAAAAATAGTCCATTTATATGGACTTATGATGATTTTGAATCATTGAGTGTTGAAGTGTTAAACCACTTAACGAGACGGAAACTAGGCAAGGACTTCACCTTTGTGTCCCTATCCTAATGGTTCATTAAGTTTATTGTAAACTATATAGTGAACAATAACCGCACGCTCTCCAAATCGTTTGATGTGTATAACACATTTGAAATAAGTTTCAAGAGAGATAGTGGGAGTTTAGGGACCATGACTATTGTAGTCAAAAGGGAAGTCAAATAAAGAAGGCAAAATAACTCCAAGGGAACAAACTTTCTTTATGAAATGATGGACATTGGAAGGGGTATTTGCAAGAAATGTCTTGCAAGTGTCAAGAACACACCTTTTGAAGGTGTTGTAAAATGTTCTTGAAAAGTTCATAACAGTTGGTTCTTCTACTTGAATGCATGATTCTGTATTAGTAACTATGTTTTACAATTGTTGTAAAAGTGTGATAATAAGAAGTAGAAGATTAATGAGAGCAGAGAAAGTACTTCACATTCGGAAAGTGAATAAAATATAGATCTCTGCGAAAGCGGATTGTACTTACTTCCTCATATGAACTACCAAAGAAATTGGAAAATACTAAAGATTGTCTTTACATTCCAATTTT